CGTCATAGCTAAGTAGCCAATAGTAGCAGGCTCGTGCTCTGTGGCACTATAACTACCAACCAATCAGTGGTCAGAGATTAYTCCGCACCAAGAAACCAACCAATCAGAGCTCATTACGAACTCAGCCTGTGGGATAACCACTTTTATTAAACAAAAGACATAAAAATCATTAGTTTTAGGTATTCGTCTGACTATAAACGAAAAAAAAAATGTTAAAACTACGAAAATTATGTCTTTCTTTTACGGATTTTTTTTTTAGTTTGAACGTCAGAATATGATAAAAACATAAATGTAGTGCATTAAAATCCTCTTTTAATGAAGTAGAATGGTACTTAGGAGTATTTAGTTTTACCTATTGGAGTCCGGGCGGCGGAAACGATGACAACAGGTTCRGTGTTCATGTTGAAGGACGCAGACTGAAGCTGGATCTGTTCTGTTCCTGGACTGCTCTGTGTTGACAGTTTCAAGACATGTACACATATACACCTAACGGGAACAACAGCGCCACCGTGTGTTTGGGAGGATAATCTTTAAATCACTTTTTACATGTGAACTTTTTTCTTCTTCCATAAAATACACCATAATATTCCTGACAAGAAAAAAAAAAAAAAACTTTTATGGCTTAATTGCTTTCATTTCATTTGATCCATCCTACTTTATTTTTTAAACACTTCAATTGTCCTAAAATACATATCTGCACTTTGTTACAAAACTTATGAGAGGAAATTGCTCGTTTTTGGGTAAACGTTTTTAAACTAAAACAATGCATTTAATAATTGGTTTCACTCTATAGTATTAAAAATGTTTTTATTGGTATTTGGTCAGTACATGAAAAGGGCTGAAGTCAGTATAATATGAACGTCACATATGAACTACTCACATTTCAACAGAACTTTCCAAACAGAATTTATGCCAATGAAAAATAAAAACTGTACTTAAAAATAAGAGGAAAAAAAAAACCACAGGCCAACATCTAAAAATGACCTAATTGAATATTATGAAGCTACTGTAATTTAGTGATTTCACTGACTTGGATTACAACACCAGATGTTTAATTTCAGAGTGAAGAGCTCAAACATGGATGTGCTCAAAAGAACAGAGTGAAACAAACTAGTTTTAAATCCACACAATTCAAAATTTAGCATGAACCCTTACTGTTTATATCCTCATTAAGCAACACAAATGTGACAAAGGCATCACAATAGGCAAAGGGACGAGGGTGTTGTATTACAGACTAAGCATTTGCTGCCTTGTGTACTTTATATATTTATAAAAAAAATACAGTACATTTTAAAGTACATTACAAAGCTGCACCGTCGCTCGTGTTCGAGTCCAGGCCGTTGTGAGCGTGACGTGACCCTGCAGTCCTGGTGCCCTTGGTGACCTGGGCAGCCTTGTCYTCGTGCGGGTCGGTGGTGGAGTCTGTGTCATTCGAGTGCTGAGTCAATGAGGTCTCGCTGCCTGTCGGAGAGTCCACGCTGTCGTAGCCAACGCTCAGCCGGCTCCCGAAAGCCCCAGGTCCTCCACCTCTCCCTGACGCAGTCTGACCACCTGGGGCCTCCTCGGAGTGGTTGGAGAGTTTGGTCTCAGCTTCACTGGGGCTCGAGACGACGGGGGACATTGGAAAGTCTTCCTCGGCACTGCTGACCTCTCGGTACAGTGTGGGCGTGGTGGTCTCGCTCCTCTGGGACGAGTTGCCGTTGCTTGGACCATTGGAGACCCTGTAGTCTTTGCTGATTGGCTCAGAGGGAGCACTGGCCTGCTCTGGCTGGGCGAACGGTTCAGCAGAGGAGCTGGAAGCAGCAGGGGAAGTCCTACTGGGTCCGGCTCCGGCCAAAGCCCCCTGAGACTGAGAGAGCAGCTGACGGGACTCCTTCAGCTGCTGCTGCAGGACCATGATGGTGCTCTGCATCCCCTCTACCTCCTCGTCTAGCTGGATAATAAAGTCATTAAGCTCTGAGGAAAGAACCCAAGAACAACAATAAAAAGAGTTGTAAAACCRTTTGAAATATAAAAACATCAAAAACACACAGATCCAACACACTCTTACCATCCTGACTGCTCTTCAGCTCCTCGCTGTACTTCTTCTGCAGGGCGAGCTCCGCCTCCAGCTGGGCGATGCGTCCCTGTGATAGCTGCCGTCCTAACTCCTGGTTCTCCTGAATCAGCATGCGACATTTGGCCATCAGCTTCTTCCCCGTTTGGCTGTAAGGGAAACAAGTCTCACATCACACTGTGAACTAGGAGGCAAATTCACGTGAAAATACTGACCAGTGCCTGCCGTCCGACCCACCTCTAAATTAACACAAAACTCTTTAAATGACTAATCAATAAACTTTAAAATAATCTGTCAGATCTTCAAAATAAACAAACAATTTGACAAAGACCTGTCAGTTACAAATAAACAATCTTTCTCTGAATGATCACAAGGATAAATAAAAAAACAACATTATTATAAACAAACTGAAGCATTACTGTCCACAGTGTGCTCAACATTCAACACAGATTTCTATAAAACAAATTCCTGCACCGTTACTTTAACTTACCATTATGATCATGGAGGAACATTACAAGAAAAAAAAAACAAGCAAAGATTTGGTGTGCACCAAATAAAACTTAACTATTGTTAAAGAATAACTGAATGGGATGACGTCACAGAGCACAGGATTCAGATGAGACACTAAAAGGAAACTTTCAGTCTAAATATCAGTGWAGCAAACAGAAAACTGGTGGACGACGCTCTGGTTTGAAAAAAGTCCTCATAAAACACACAAAGATTAAGAGTTAACACCATAATCAGATGGGTCCAGATGCTCAACAATCAGTACAACAGTTTGGTCCACCTTTAAATTTACATTAGCACTTACTTTTACCTTAATCAAGAACAGAAATTAGATAAATTACTTAAAACCAGAACCTTTGATATAGGACACGGAAATATTAAACAAAGCAGCGACTTTATCAAATTAAACCCACAGTAGTCAATAAAAAGGATGACCAAAATTATTGGTCTRAGTTGTAATTTGAACCAAATAAAAAGTTTTAATCACGGCACATCTCCTGAAATAAAACGTGTTTTCTCTGTAGCAGAGAACATGAGCACATTGCTTCCTCACTGAGGTGAGAGATGTGAAAATACACCTGGTTTTAGACAACTGAACGGGTTCATTAAACAGTAGATAAACATCTGTGCCRCACAGCAAAGAAAAACCTCATTTCTAAAGCTTTCAGACTGTGGGAAAGATTGGTCAATCACACACTGCAAATACCGTCCATTTTATCAAGTTTTAAAATCTTATATCAGCCAAAATATCTTTTTCATCTTGTTTTGAGACTGATTTACTAAACAAGAACTGATTTAAGAATAATAATCTTGTTTTCAGAATGTGTAAGATTATTTGTCTTGTTAGTCTGAAAATTTGACTCAAATTAAGTCAAAAATTTCTGCTAATGGAGTGAAATTTTTTTACTTGGTAAGATTTTTGAGTCAAATCAAGTATTTCAAGAATTTTACCAAGTAAAATTTTTACTCCACTGGCAGAAATTTTTGACTTAATTTGAATCAAATTTTCAGACTAACAAGACAAATAATCTGAGACATTCTGAAAAGAAGATTATTATTCTTACACAATCATTTCTTGTTTAGTAAATCAGTCTCAAAACAAGATCAAAAAGATATTTTGGCTGGATATAAGATTTTAAAACGTGTTAAGACGGACGGTTTTTGCAGTGCAAAAATACACAGAATACAAGAAACACACCCTCATTTCTCAAAACATGACTTCTTAAAGACATTTGCAGCGACAGTTTGATAACAGGACTCTGTGCACCTACGGCAGCGTGTTTCATCTGTCTGAGGTTTCATTTGTCACCAAACGTCTGCAAACCTTTTTCACAATAACAGCCAATCRGGTTTCTTGCTTCACACGCTGCAGTAAGTGTTCGTTTCAAAACGAAGAGAGCAAATTTAAATAGCAATAAAATGAAACAATTCACAAAACAACACATGTAAAAAACACTCTACCGTGTGTGGGCTCATGCTCAAAGACACGAGCGGATCCTTCATGCCTGAACCACAGTCCGTTTGGGGACCAAGGATCTGGCTCTGCTCACAGTCTTAATGTCATTTCTAGTATATCTTCCCCCGAAATGTCTTACTTTTTAAGTCTTAGAAATTTTCCTCACGTGATTGAAATGTATCTAGAAAGTCCCAAAAGTCTTTACACTTCTCAGGGAGACTAGCAGGATGTTTGTGTGCTGTGATCCGCTGTTAAACGCCTTTATAAAGCAAGAGATGTCTTTAAAATGTTCAATTGCTGTTTTAGGCTAGGGATGGACCCTGCCTGACACAAACCTCCCCCCGTTTTGGTTTTATTTTATATGTGAACTGTCTGGTATGAGCTGAGGGGGTGGCGGGGGGGTGCACATCCATGGCGGAACGTGAGTGACCACCTCTTCAGAACAGTCCGGACTCCTTCAGGCCCTTGGACGGTGGGGGGATATGAGGGGAGGAAGCTGAAACACAAGTGTTACCTGACCGTATTGTCTTTTTTTAGGTTATGTGATGTGTAGCACAGTACAAGAGAACAAAAACACTTTTGTTTTTGCAGTGACTGGCTTTCTGTAAAGTCTGAGTCTCGTGACGAGTACAGCGTTTTGTCAGCCTTTACCCCCCCACACACCATTGTTCCTGCATGCCTGCAGTGAGAGTGAGGGTGGAGGGGGGGGCGTGAGGACGTCTTGCCCTTTTTTGAAGGGGGGGAGGTGGGGAGTTATTTTTGATTGTCTTTACCTATCAGGTGTAAATTTCCAGGCACTCAGTTCATTTTGGGCCTGCTCCAGTTTGTCTTTAGTCTGTTCCAGTTCAGCCTTCATTTTGAGGAAAAACAAGTTGATGGCTGGATCCACCATGGACGACCGCAGCTGGGCCACGCTCGGCTGCTGGACTTGCTTCAGGTACTGGATCTGGGTCTGCAGGACGCAACAAAATACAAGTTAGTGATGGGCAAGGAGTTTCTTAAAAAAAAAGGACCATTTTAAAGCTTTCAAGAAAACTGAGCGATCTAACATTAAGATCATTTTAAAAGGTAAATATTCTGAGCAGGTAACCTTATGCAACTTTAGAAACATTTTCATAATAAACAAAAAGAACTAGCGTAGCATTTAGATGATGTGACCCATCATATAAACTTGGGATTAAGTCAAATTTGGTCAAAATGACCTCAGCTTTTTAAGCTACATTTTGATACCTGGATATCATGAGAGGTTCCAAAGGTTTGTCTTAATCTGGATTACCCATTGATATTTGTGACTCATCATTTTGAAATGAGGATTAAGTCAAATTTGGTCAAAATGACCTAAACTACATTTTCAGATTCTTGGCTTTAAACGCTGCATTTTGATACATGGATCATTCTGATATCTTACGTAAATCCATATGTGATTTAATTTGTCTTGTTGGTTACAATAATACATAAATATTTGGTCTGAATCCTAATTTTATGTATTAATGAAGAATTTTTGATGTCCTTTTAAAGAGGAAACCTCAAAATTATATTTGAATATTGAAATTTCTCAGCTGAAAAGAACAACATTGCTAGCTCACAAGGAAAATACAAAATTCTAAGACATTTTTCCTCAAAATCAGGTTTTTTTGTTGCCACTGCTCAAAAAAGTGCTTCAAAATTTTGGTTTATTATTATATTTCACACATTTCATTCAAATGATACATTAAGGCTTTTATTTATTCATGATGTTTTGACAAAATGCAATTTTTGCAAACGTTTTAATCAAAACACTATATTTGGCTATTTCTCCATATCCCACTTTTAGAATTAATCTTAGTTTCGATGTGATGGGTCACATTTGGTTTAAATCCTATTTTTAGGTTAATCTAAAGAGGAATTTTAGACTTTGTTTTAAAAAGGAAACCTTAAATAGTATTTGGATACTAAGATTTCCCAGCAGGAAAAAAAAAAATGCTTTGATAGCTAGGGCTGTGTTTTGGCAAGAATTTGGCGATACGATACATATCATAACAGAGGGGTCACGATATGATATATCCCGATACATTGTGATACTGTAAGCAAGGCAATATATTGCTATTTTTTTTGTCCAAAAATTCTATTAAATAAAAACCTCGCACTGAAAAAAAAAGAAAAGCTAATGTTTACTTACAATGCTAATGCTACCCTTACTCTCTGGCGCTCAAGAGGTAGAGGAGACAAATGGGTGGCTCACTGCTGCCAACTAGTGGTCAGAGGCTGAACTACAACATAAAAATGAACGGTTGGCAAGAAAGTTGACATTTTAAACCTTAATAAAAAATCGATACAGGGCTTTAGAATATCGATACAGTATCGGGAAATGAAATATCGCGATATTTCAGTGTATTGATATTTTCTTACACCCCTATTGATAGCTTGCAGAGAAAACATCAAAGATTTAAGGCTTTTTGTTTCTCAAAACTGTTTCAGAAAAGTCTTTTTCCTCCACATACAACGTTGGGACTTAATCCTCAGTTCGATGTAATGCATCACACACTTTTTAAATTTCTAACTAAACAAAGAGCTAAACTCCAAGTTTTAAATCCCTTTAAGGGTCTCCTCTGACACAACTACCTGTTGGCACAGTCAGGTGTATCTCTGATACAGAAAATAACGTTTTCTCCTAACCACATAGTATTTAGCAATACCTGTTGCTTGCTTTTATGCAATTTCATGTCAAGTCACAGTTTCTTGCTGTACTTAGTCAAGAGTTAAGCTTAATATAAATAGATGCAGAAGCAGCATTTTATAGGTGCAACTTTGCATAAATAAGACAAATTTGACTACAGGAGCCACACGGTGACACGTCTGCCTACACTACAGATGAACTACACTCAAACCAGAACTGTTTTTATAGCAACTGATGTTACAGAAAAATCATGATAAAAAAAAACATTTAATTCAATATAATTTGCGAAATAAATGCAAAACATGTAACCCCAACAAATCAAATCTTACTATTATGCTATTATAAAATAACACACTGACATATCTAATCAAAATATTACAGTTTAAAGAGCATCAAGCTACAGAGAACATAAACAAACTCAATCATCCTCTAAACCAGTGGATACCAAAGTTGGGGTCGGGACCCAAAGTGGGGTCCTGAAACATAAAACTGGGGTCCTGAAAAGATTTTCTGAATTATTTACACTAAAAAATGAGAACTAAAACTTTTTATGCCTTTGTTGTAAGTTAGGTTAGTATATTTACACTGGATAAAAAAAGCTTAATGAATATTGTGACTATGTCCTTGTTTTTCTGACGTGAAAATAGTGTTTATGAACCAACAACAGCTGGGGTCTCAGGTCTCTGCTGCTGCCATTCTGTGGGTCAAAGGCTGAAAAGTTTGGTAACCGCTGTTCTCAACGGTTTCCTGACCATCAACACGGTGAGTTTGAAAGCAGCCCGGCGAATGACGATGAAAACCAAATTCAGCAAAATCACGCCAGAGCAAGAAAAAAAGGTATAAGACTATGGAATAATCTGGAAAACGATTATAAAATTAATTCCTTTAAAAAAATGAAAAATGATTTCAACTGTTTAATTTGTATTTGCACGAGTTACTGTATGAGGAGTTGAATTTTTGTTTTATTTCATTTATTATTGTTTGAAATTAATGTATTTTTTTCTTGTAAATAAGAGCAGATATACGATTTTTTTTATGCTTCTGCTGCTTTTCATTTTATTTGATTTGCATTGTTTTTAGGGCTGCCACGATTAATCGATTAATCGACAACTAATTGATTATTAAAATAATTGATGACTAATCTAATAATCGATTAATTGTTTTCTTTTTTTTGTTGTTGTTCTTTACTTTGTTTTTCTCTCCAAACTGCTTTGACACCTTCCACTGCCACATCTGCCTTTCTGTCCTTGACACACATGCACAGTAGTGGTAACTGGGGTAGGCCGTGGACGTCACAAGACATTATACAGACAGGCTCTGGTATCATGGCTACCTGACAACAGAGCTCAAAAGTGTGGGATCATTTTAAGAAAATGAAAGAGAAACCTGTGTAATATCTGCAGAGCAGAACTTACCTTCCACAGCAATTATTTTTAGTTAGCATATAGCTAAAATCTAACGATGGTTATTTAATAGCAGCTGCATTCTGACGTGATAAGCTGTATGTTTTATATTCAACTAACGCATGATCCGATTAGTCGACTAATCGAATAAATAATCAGTGATTAATTGATTATTAAAATAACCGTTTGTGGCAGCCCTAGTTGTATGTAATGTGTTTTGTTTTGTTTCTTTAAATGAAATGAATCAATAATAATAACAATAATAATAATAATAATAATAATAAAAAGAAGGTAAACAGACACATACTGTACACTCTTGCATTTCCTGCTCCTTGGTGGCAAGTCGCATGACCAGAATGTTCTCCCGGCGCGCAGACTCCTGCTGCTGCTGCTTGAGCTTCTCCTCCGACTCCTTCAGTCCTGGAACATCGTTAGCTAAGGCAGGGACGAGAAGAAAACAAACAAGCCATGAGGTTATTGTTCTCCACGCAGCAAGTCTAATGCTGTGTTCACACTGAACGCGATTTCAGCATCAGGAGCAGCAGGTTTACATGCAAAGTCTATGGTGGACGCGCTTCAAGCGGCGTTGGGAAGTGCTGCGGCGCCTCAAGCGCGATTAGAGCAGCGCGATTTGAACGATTTGAACAATCTGAGCGTTCGACGCGCTGAGGCGCAAATCGCTGAAGTTAGAAAATCTGAACTTTTGCAGCTCGATGCGCCACGTCAACCAATCAGAGAGACTCCTCTGTGTGACGTAGCGACATATTTCCCGATGGGACAGTTTACTGAATGATGTCCACTAACCTGAAACAGATGGAGAGGAACTCTTTAGCTGAAATCGAGTGCCTGCAGTCGGTGTCCTGACAGGAAAAATAGTCCTGAAAGCGAGCTGTGAGCCTCTACTCTGAATTATCTGGTGAATTAATTACGAATTAATTATCTGATGAACGTGACATGCTCTTGCTCTCTGTAAATAAAGCAAAGCCACTCCCTCGTCCGACATTAAACAGAGCCCGACAGAGGAGGGAGGGGCGGGGAGGSTGTTGCCGTGCAGCGCTTCAAGAGCTGACCTGCGTCTGACCTCAAAGTGCACAAGCGACCGACTTGAAGCGTTGGATGCGATTTTGAAGCTGAAATCGCGTTTGGTGTGAACGCAGCACAACACTATAAGGTATTACATTTGGTGATAATTATTGCCGGAGATATTGGCAAAACAAAACATGTACTTACAACACAGCTCTGCATATTTTGCCTCTAGGACCTGTACGTATGTTTCATGTTGCTTCCACCTGAAAAACAGCACAGTCTATTTAACATTTCAGCTTCAAAATATTCACATCATTTGTGATGTGGATGCTTACTTTGCACACAGTTCCTCTCTGTTTAGGTTCTTCAAATCCGATTCACTAAGGCGAACCTGTGAGGTGGAGGGGGGGGGGGGAATCCAGCGGTTTTCCCTTCACTGTCAGGAACTCGGCTGCTAGGGGGGGAGGCAGGAGTTTATCTGAATCCCGTTTCTGTTTGAAGCTGCAGAAACATAATTAAAGTGGCTGAAATGAAAGAGACACTAACCTTCTTGGGTAGAGGTTCCTCGTTGGTCATTGTGAACTCTGGGAACAAAATAAATGAGAGAAGATGATCAGTAACTGAAGAAACTGCCCTCATCTTTTCAGCTGAAACGTCATGAATGACAGGCAAACTAAATGAGCACATATGGCGCCTTCAGACGAAAAACATAACCAGGGTAAATGTAAACAGGCAAAGAATTGACTCAGTGGTAAATGAAATTAAAGTTAACATTAAAAGCGCTGTAGCTAGCAGTGTGGCAGCGAGGAGAAAGTGAAGAAGCTAACCAAGGTTAACTGCTAGCCCTGAAAATTAATTAGCACATCTTAGAAGCGGATTTTGCAAACAGCAGCATGACGCTTAAACATCMTTTATGCTTTTATAGGCGGCGTTAAATTCTCAGCTCTGTTTCGGCTCCTTGTTATCACAAAATGGCGGTGAAGGAAATGACTCCCTCCCTTACGCTCCTTTCCTGAAACTAGCGGGCTCTTGGCTGCAGTTACCAGGCCTAGTCACGGTGAAAACACTCACCAGGCCCGTTGCTTTCGATGCTTCGGGTGACTCTCGGCTTCCAAACTCCTTGTGGGAATAAGTATTACAGATAAGTAAAAAAAAAAATTGCCGTGTTTATTACAAGTTGCGGTCAACCCTCTTGCTTTGTCGCGAACATCTTACGACGGCCGAGGGCAGAACAGAATAGCTATGGACGAACTGCGCCGAACGCCAGTTGCTGCGGAGTGATATCAGAGATGGAGTGATGGAGGAAGAGGTCTCACTGCGAGGATTATTTTCTGAACCTAAAGTGCGGCCGGAGAGCAGAAATCTGTTGTTTCTTTTTCTATTTTGCATTTTATAATCGCAACTTAATAAATGCAATATCAAATAATTCAAAGCCAATCGATCAAAAATCATTAGTTGATTACAATAAATTAGTAATTGATATTATAA